AGAACTATAGGAAACAGTCGGAATCCCTTGAATAAACCGCTTAGAAGTTTCAACATGTTGTAGCCTTAAAATAGTTTTATATTGATTTTCTCACTTCCTATCTAACATCAACTGTTTTAAAGCATTCTTGAAGAGAATTAAAGAAGAAATTGTTTAAAAAATTGTTCCGACCTTAGTGAGCAAAAAATTGAAAAAACATTGATGAAATACTGATACCGCCTTTTAATTTCGACTATCCGATATATATATATAGTATATATCAGCTAACCGAACTGCAAGGAGTCAGCAAAGAAAATATAGCCCTGTCAGCCTTTCGATTGTTCATGATTACTCAGTTCTCAAAAGAACTCCACTAGCAAATGAGCCAGTGCTAAAAAATCATAACCTCTTCACTGTTTACATCAATATTTTCAAAAATCAAGACTCAAATTTTTTCTAGTCAATTCAACATTTACTCCATGCTTTGATTCATACATTTTAGAAACCAAGCTTACAACTTTGACTCCAAAGTTTCTGACAATGGACAATTGTCAATATACGAAGAAATGTCAAAGGAAAAATTATATAAAAAAATATGAGTACAACAGATAAGCTGTAAGTTTGTCAAAGCTTCTTTCACTCACATTACAACTAACATGCTAATGGACTACTGATCCCAAGGGGAAAATTCCAAGTGTGAACTTTCTTTTCGATCGGCACTGTAGTCATTAAAACGGTTATAGTCAGTTGTGTGATATTGTAACTACGATTGAATATCTAAGTCTTTGAAGTTAGTCTAAACTTTGGCACACAGACGGGTCTCATCGTTGTCAGATGTTACCGCAAAACTCAGCTCGAACGAATGCTTCTTCGAAATATTGGTATTTTAAGTAGATCAAGTGTTTCCAATTTTTTTAATTAAAATATGAATCCTTAAAGAACTCAATATCTCGAGATGGAAAGATATATTTTGACGGTAACTTTTAGGACATTCTATTAACGATGAGATTTATCCAAATGGCAATTTTCAGATGAAAAACAATTAATTCACTTGCTTTTCTGACATACCTTATAACAGTTTGAGAAACGAGTAAAATAACACTCACAGCTCAACCTTAAAAGGTCCACAGATTCAAGCCAAGTTAGGGAATCAGACTAATCGCTATGAACAATACAATGAGCATAGTTGCAGTCGAAAAACTATTTTCCACTCGAAGACCTTATTTTGTTATCTCAACGTTAATACTGCTTTCGCTTTCTATTATTCATAAATGAATGATGTACATTTTCTGTGTTTTTATTTCAGAAAAACGTATGAAAAATGGATCTTATTGACCATCGAAATACTCGTTGGTCTACACTTTCGTAGACTTCGCATCGTGACAATCATTTTAATAATTTCTGCATTTCTTAAAAATTTTAATGCAAATATTACGGCGAAATGCAACACAGATTTTGTCATGGCCACCGTCTATATAACATATATATGGATGAACGATTCTTCTTATTATTATTATTCTCTTCCTTTTCTAGTCATATGTAATGATTGTTGGGTCTTTTACTTTTGAAAGTGATGATTTATTCCAAGTATTGAATATCAGATCTCCTATTATTAGTTTTGTTGTTGTTTCTTTGTTGTTATTTTGCTTTATTTTTTTTCCTTTTTTGTGGAAAAGCACAGATTTTTACTTATCATAATAAATAAAGAAAAATATGAATCTAACAGGGTTTTCAATTATTTCTTTCAGCTAAACAGTATATTATGTTGTTTGTTGAGCCATTATTGTGAAAAGTGCAGAAATAGTATGAGAGGACAGAATTGATTAGAAATTCAGTTTTCTGCTAACAGCAACGTACAGTAAAGAAATTCTAATCAGAAAAGCACACCATGAATGTTTTGAAAGAAGATTGTATCCAAGACGGTTAAACGCATTGAGCTTGTTTTGAGGGAATTTTGATTGTTTCAAACTCAGTTTTCCATTTACCCGTTCAGAAATAGTCAGTTATTAAGAAAAAGGTTATTTTTCATCCAAATTACGATAATCATGATCTTTTAATAGTACTTTGAACAGAGAACAATTTCCTATTCAGAACATTGAATATCATTCACCATCCGATTTTTCCAATTCTCTAGAAAGTTTTGAAAACGACTTACGAGAGAACATTCCCAACTGTCGCATCGCTTTTGAGTTGAGCATATGCGCATCATGTAGGCTCTAGTGATCTATGAACACTCTGAAAAAAGTTTGTGCCGCTAGCTTATTATTGCCGAGATATTGTATTTTTACTGTATGCTTAAGAAAAAAAGCCGTATCCCCCTCAGGAACACTAGAAAAACTAAGTTTCGAATTTCAACTTGAAACTTTGCATAGAGATAGATCTCAGTGAGAATAGTTTATTGTGAAAGTTTCAGATCTTTTCGTTGTTCATATCCTAAGATACAGCTATAGTAAAATAGCTTATATACACCAGCAGATTCCGACGTTCTTGTTTCACACTAGGAGCAATCAAAAGATCTGAAACTTTCACAATAAACTATTCGCACTAAGACCTATCTCTATGCAAAGTTTCAAGTTGAAATTCGAAACTCAGTTTTTCTAGTGTTCCTGAGGGGGACCACAGTTTTTTCCTTATAAATACAGTAAAAATGCAATATCTCGACAGTAATAAGCTAGCGGTACGAACTTTTTTCAGAGTATTCATACATTATTAAGGCCTACATGATGCGCATACGCTCGACTCAAAAGCGATGTGACACTTGGGAATGCTTCCTCGTCAGTCAAAACTAACCAATACCATAAATATATCTCTCCGTTTCCTGTATCAAAAAGGGCTATTTTTACAATCCAAAATCTCTTATGTTTGGCGTTGACCGTTTCAGTAATTTTTAAGGACTGATACATCCATGTATTATAAGGCCTGAAACTCAATAATTACATATTTATTTTACATATCTCTTTCGTCCTGGATTGGATGAAGAAAGAGTTAGTTGATAGACATATTACGTTCTTGGGCAATCATAATGATATTTCACGTAGCTTAGAGCTGTAGTTGTCCGTGAGTAAGTTTCACCTTTGAAGATATTCGTCATTGTTTTGTATAGATCATTTCAATTAGAAACATATGATAACACACATGACTTAATCTACCAGATTTCATAGAAATCAAAGTCCTAGTTATCTAAAATGATAACAATAGAGAGTGGATTAAAAGTATTTTTCTTCTATAGAACGGTATTTGATGTTCATAAATCAAATTTTTTCTATGTTGATTATCTTCGAGCAAATTTTTCAAACACTGACTCAGTTTTTTGCAAAATGTTCTAAGAAACGACTGCCTATTTTGATCATTCATTTCATATTGTAGAGTCTGGCAAAATTTCTCCTCAAATTGGATATCAAACAAGGATCAGAGTACGACAGTCATCAATACTGATGAAATCATTTGAAAAATAATCATATTTCAATTAGTTATTATGTATACCTAAATTAATTAAATTGAATGAAATTCAAATACTCATTTCAAATAAGAAAACGTGTGAGTATGTTTTGAATAACTTTTGATAGAAACTAGGTAGAGAAGTGCGATTTTCATCGTTTAGAAGAGAAGATGAAACTGCATCGAATCATCTATACTACAGGTTTTTTTTAACAAGTTTTCTCAGAGTCTACCATCAAGTTTGTTAAACACAAAGGGTTATCTAATATAAAAGTTTTACGATCTCAATTTCCAGGAGTGTACTAGAATCATTAACTGAATATCTATAAATTCTGTAAGTCCTATGTTGTAAGCTTTAGCCAATCATCAGTGATATACATTTTACTGCATGTTATCGGCAGATTTTTCACAGAAAATTGACTTTTTTTTTCTCATTTTTTCAACGAAAAATCTGCCTTATAAACTTGTCTAAAAGCCTGGAGTTTTTGAAAAAATTGGCGAGAGACTCTGAGAAAACTTGTCAGAGAAATCTGATATAGACTATTCGATGCAGTTTCATCTTCTACTTTAAACGTTAAAAACCGAATCTCTCTATCTAGTTTCTATCAAAAATTATTCAAAAAATACTCACACTTTTTCCTTTTTGAAATGAGTATTAGTTAGAAGTAGTCTATGGTGTCAATCAGGCTTGATCAGTATTAGTACGATTGTGATTACTAATAGTGAAATAATTGCCCATGATCGTCGTCGCCGTCGTCAACTTTTAAGAGAAAAAAAGTGAAATATGCGCCTTCAGTTTCCATGTCTTCTTTATAGTTTACCTGTTCTCAATATCCGTCTAACTCTGTTTCAGACCTAGGTGTGACCAATTGGGATCTCATCGCTCATTTATAGAACTGAACATTTATATAGTATATCAGGAAGGCTGTGCCGCACATAATCTTGAAATGGTCGAGAAATCTTTGACACAAGAACAGAAAAAATAGAAAAATCTACTTTGAAAAAACCGTGAAAAAGTATAATAAATTTGGTAAATGGTATTAGACATTGAAGGTTGCATCAAAATTTCAAAATCGAACTTTTTGACGAAAATTACAGTTTCTGATAGAAAGCCTTAAGTGTGAGATATGAAAAACAAACATATAAATGATATACATTCAATTTTACAAATAAATTTAATTATGTCAAAGACTTCCAATGGTGAATAATACAATTAAGGAAATGAATAAAATAATTGTAAAAAGATTATGATACGAATCATCAATTTCATTATGATTTATAACAATGCAATTAAACAAAAACAAAAAGACTTTGTCAATATCTTCTTTTTTTGCAGAAACAAAATTTTATTCAATGCATTTATTAGTTTACCCAAATTTAACCTTTTTGAAATTGGAATTTCATCATCCAATGCCATCTGTGTATGTTTTTGTTTATAAAAGCAATCCTGTGAACGACATTGGCATGGAAACAATTAAAAAAATGGTTATCAAGCGTTCGATGGTAGAAAAATTTTTGTTCTTCTGCTATATTTGACGAGTACAAATAGATGAGTGAGATTTAAACATCATATACATTTATTAATGACTGCCTTTGCTCGTCCCTCATTACTCGACAATCGTTATGCAGTTATTGCTGAGACAAGTGCATACACATATGATGATGATGATCTTGTTAATTATGCTGAATTTTTACGGTAAAGATTATTTTTTTCAAATTTTCATTACAAAAACAAAGATATACATTTATTATATATAGACAACATGGTCGTTATATGACAAAAGGAGGTTATGTTGATTCATCTCGACGTATTCGTTCACTTCATCGTCAACAAGATGGTTTTCAAATACCGAAACGTCAAACACCACCATCACGAACTGGTTTACTGGCTTCAATTAATAAATCATCATTATCAGCACCAGCTATTGGAACAACACCGAGAAAATTAAAAACATCTGATGAAAATGAATTACTGTCTCCTTTATCTCTATCAGCAAATCCTGAAAATAAAAAAAAAGAATATGATAAACAAATGAAACTTATTGAAGTTTGTTTCATTTATTTAATAAAATTAATTTATGATTGGTTTTTTCAATTTAAGGAACAAATGATTAAAGCAAAACAAAATGAACGAGAAGCAAAACGTTTAGAAGGTGATATTAAAAAAGAACAACGACAGTTACATCATTCACTTCGAGATCTTGATGTTGGTAAGTATGTAATAAATAATATCTTAATCTATGTTTTCTTTTTAATTAATTAAATATAGATGCAACAAGAAAACGTTACAATGCTGAAAAACATTTATCAAAAAATCTTGAAGAAAAAGATAAAATTGAAAGAGAATTCGTTAAGAAACGAGAAAAGGTAGATTTCTATCCATTAATATTAATATAAAATAAACATTACATGTTTTATCATGAAGAACAAAAACGATTTCAAGGTCTTTTTGTGAAGTTCTTTTTTTTGTTATTTGTTCATTGTCTATATAATCTTCTTAACACATAATAGTATTCATATAAGGTTGTATTATAATTTACATCGAAATATCATTACAGTATACAACAGTACATCCTTCAAAAACATTGGCACAAATAACATATGTAATGCAATCAAGTCGAACACATCGATCTTTTGTCAATCGTTATCTTAGTAGGGTAAAGAGAAATCTCTGTACCCATCCTATAAACAATAATCAAATCTTTATATACATACGTTGATTTAATTTTTTTTAAAATATTTATCATAGATTTTTTTTGATAAAATAAATGAAGAGTTTGTAAACTATTTATCTCTTTTAACTAGCAAACAAAAGAACGAACTGATCGTTTAATTGATTCATTACAAGCAAATAAAGATAAAGATCGTCGTAATTTACTTCTTTGTAATGATCTAGCTCGACAATATCAAACAAAATCACATGAACTTAAAATAAAACATCAACAATTCAATCAAATACATTCAGATTTTGAACAAAAAGTTCAACAAAAAGAGGTTTGATCTTGTAAGAAAAAAAATTTCTGTTTTATTCTCATTATTTTTAATTTAGTTGGAAGAAAATCGACTTAAAAAAGAATTAGCTGATATAGCTACGGCACTTAATTTAGAAGCGCAAAAAGTTAAAACTGATATGAAAGATTTTCTAAAGTATGATCTATATTCGGTAATATGAATTTAATTAAAATATTATTAATTTTTTATAGTATTGTTGATAATGATCGAGTTCAAACAATGAAACAAGATCTCGAACAAGAACAAAAACTTAAGTAAATATAAACTATTGATGATTTTACTATAAATCAGAAAGATCTTTATCCAATGCTTATTTAGCATAAAACAGAAAATATACTCCGATAAAATTCACTTAGTTTCTGTAATTGAACTTCTCTTATCTAACTTTCAAATCTACATGTAATGGATACCATAGCTTGTTTAGAGAAAAAAAGAATGAAATATCTTGAACAGTGATACTTTTTTTATCGTGACCAGAAATTAAGAAGAAGAATATGGATCGAAATTGAACATCTTTATTATGAAACAATCATCTTCTTTTTCGTTTTTTTTTCTGATAAGGCATCATATTGTTGATATAGAATATTCATTTCACTACACTAAACTTATAATGGTTTCTGTTTACTCAATATACCTTAAGAATCTCATACTATTATTATTTTAATGTAGTATTAATATCGTACAATGAAGAAGGAAAATTTGGCGAAGAATAATAAGAGATTACCGAAAAGTAATTTGACAAAATGTACATTCATTTTTTAGCCTCATAAAGGAGACTGCAGAAATTTGAGAAAATTGAGTTGGAATCATAATTCTGTATTGTTTTCGCATATGACTTTAAAATTTTTGTAGGACTTCGGGTTTAAGAGATATACAACAATCCTTTTAGAAGTGTGAAAGTTAAGTTGAGACAAAGAAAATTGACCAATAGTCTCCGTTACTGCATATGTTATTTTACCAATATTTTTTGCATAGAATTAAAGGTGAGATTGTCCTCGACAGAATGGTATAAGAATCATTCCGGAATGGCCGAGCTCGCTTTGCAAGTCTATTGCCTATAACAATCGACAAAATTTGCCTAAATTGCCACGACATACCTTACTAAAATACTCACTGCTGGTAAATGACTTGCAGCAAACTAATCATTCGTATACGATTTTAAAGAGAAGTTTTTGTTCTTTTATTCACTATGTTTGAAAGGATTTTCACTTCTTTTTTGGGTAAACTTTGGCGCATTGAAATTCGTCCAAATTCAATTAACGGACCTCAAAAAAAGTCAGTTTATAACTCTTAAACCAGAAGTTCTTCAAACAGTTTGAAGTCATATTTGGCTCGAATACAAAATTCTATTTATCATTCTATGTTTTCAAATACCTATAGGCTTCTTTAAGAGACTGAAAAATGAACGAACATTTTGTTAAATTAACTTATTTGATAACCTGTTATTATCTCTTTTATCCAAACACTATATCCTTATAATTGACAAGAAAGGTTTAGAATATTCATTCTTAAATTCTGTTTTTTTGTAGTCAAACAAATGTTTATGGTAAAAACTATGATCAAGAAAGACGTCGTCTTTCAGGTGATGTAACACTTCATCGTTCAATGCTCGATCTTAAACAACGTGACGGTATATTAAAACAAAAAAAAATTTCCTAAAATAATTCGATTTCTTCATGATATATTTTTGAGCTCTTCGTCGAATTGGTGATACAAAGAGTCGATTAGAAACAATTTATGCTAAACAACGACAATTAAATGCAAGTACAGCTATTAATGAACCAGATCGACGTGCTACTCAATTAATGTCTAAAGTGACCGTATGTTTATTTTTTTATCAGAACAAAAAAAAAGCAAAGAACATAAATTGTTTTTTCTCATATTTTAGGATATTGAGAATCGTCGTTCACAATTAATGAATCAATATATGCGTGATAAAACTGAGAAACATGAAAGTGAAGCAACAACTAAAGCTAAAACACGTCCTGTTGAACTTGAAACTAAACAACATGAAGATCGCTTACGACATTTAGAAGTAAACGATTCGATTTAATATTCGTATATATTCATTATTGTTTTTATAGAATACAATGAATAAGAGTGAAGACGTTGAATATGAATTACGTAAATCAGTTAAAGAAGCTGAATTTCAACGACGTAAAAAGGAACAAGAAGTACAACGATTAAAAGATGATTTAATACGAAAAAAACGAGAAGATGCGAAAAAAATTCAAAATGCTATTGCCCGATCGGAACAAGAGGAAAAAGAATTAGAACGACATTTAGCTAAAGAAAAAGCAAAATTATATAAAGTATATTTATTAATTAATTTTCAAATAAATCTTATCTATTCATCGTTTGTTTGTTTATGTTTGCTTTTGTTTTTAGTTACAAACACGACGAGAAGATAATTATTTACGTTTAACACGACAACGTCAACAAATGCGTGAAAATAAAGCCTTATTAGATATTCATGAACGTGAACATGAACGTCTATTAAATGTTCAAACTCAATCACAATCTTTGCAATCATTTAATACTATCTAAAACGTGACCTTATTGACTTGAATTTGCCGGTGCTTTGCCACTAACTATTTTTTTGTGCCTTTATTTCCTTAAAATATAAGATTATTTTTTTTTCCAAAACGTATCTATTCATTTTAACATAGTTTATTTAAATTATAAATGTCATTTTAAAAGTTCGTCAATCAAACAAATTGATTAAGACTATGACAATTTTTTACTATAGAAAATATCGGGTTGAGGCTGAAACGAGAGAATATTTTGTTCCTGCCTCGCCTTAACCTTAATTTTTCTTTCGTTTCCTCGTCACATCCTTGCAAGATATTTGTATCTTTTGCTCATTTGATTTATTTGATTACATATTACAAAAAATAGACACAACAATACAAGAACACAGCACATTCAGGAAAAATTTTGATAGAAAATATGCGTTTCAACGCACAATTTTGTAGAAAAAATGCTACTCTCGCGTTTTAAATGTATCGCTGGTTTTTTCGACGCGTTTTTTCCGATCCAAAGCGTCGTTTATACGATACCGTTCCAAGGCGTTTGTAAAAAAACAAAAAAAAGGGCTTTCCTCAACAAAAACACTTTGAAAAAGCTCATTTAAACCGGATTTTCTTTGTTATTCTCTATCTTACGAAGAAATAAAACATTATTGACAGTTGTTCGGTCAAAAATTACACCTTCTGTGGTTGACAACTTCATCTACTGCCGAAAACTCTCTTTCGACAGCAGTTGAACTGCATCGTATTGAGAGTATAAGCGGCATGATAATTAACTAATGTCCTGTGAGAACAATTTTTTTCCATATTTCTCGACCCGTTTTTCATGGGAGTAAAGAACGAGAACGATATTAAAAAAATGAGCATTCTCAAAAATCGTTTCGTTTTATGTAAATACTTTCCAAACTTTGATCTTTCAAATAAAAAATGTCGAAATCAATCCGATGTTACATTGTTGAGAAATATATTTCGGCATTCTTCCAAAAACTTTTGCATCGTTTATTAATTAAAAGAAAAATAACAAGTACCTATCAACAAAAATTAGACAAATCTATTGATTATTCATTGAATTGTAATTCAATTATCACAACTATTATTTTGTTTGTGATTATCACCTTCGAAAGGACTATTATTTAGATTATCTCGCAATATACCATTATGTATTATTATCTTCTCTTCTTGAATGTTTTCATTCGTCACCAGTCTTGTTGATGTACTCGTCTTTTTTTCTCTTTTCAATTGTTCAACTGTTAAATTGATGAAGAAAATAATTCTCTTAATTTAACGTTGATAAATTTCGATATCTAAATAAACATTGATTTATGTTACCAAAATGTACCTCCAATGATATTTATATTTTTAATTTAAAGCCTCTCACGTTGCCGTAGAGTACAATGTCAATAGAAACTAGCGTCTAATATACATTTATTACTTAATACTTTTGATACTTTTCAAATTTATTACTTGATTACTAGTGGTAATAATGTAGCATCCTAGTAAATATAAGTTTCAATCAGCATAACCTCTAAAACCTGATTGAAACTTATATTTACTGTATTTTCTTTTTTTCACAAACATATGAGTTCCACAAAATAAGATATATGTGTTCAAATGTTTCGTTACAAAGACTAATGCATTTTTTGTATCAGAAAAAATACATCTTTCAAAAACTCGTCCAAAAATAGCTAAGCTCTTCTAGTCCGAAATTCTCGCTCCACTGCCGGTCAAAATTCGAAAAGATCTGAAGAAAGAAATAAAAGAAGCGTGCCAAAAAATTAATGTAAGTTATGTTGGCAACGTGTTTAGTTCTTTTTTTTGAAACGTTTGTGTAATTGAACAGCTTAATAGCGATCATATTTTCCATAAACATTCATGATTTTTATATCACTTTACTTCAATTCTTTTTTCTTGTGGAAAATAAAATAATAATATCATGAAGAATATTCTTTGACATAAAACGAAAACTTTATTTTCATATTATTTTCATTTCTGTTCCTCTTAGAATAATGACACATTTCATCATCACACAGTACTTCAGGTTTAGCCTTATAATAAAACTATCATATCAATCCCCGGGGATTTTTTTACTAACGCTTTTGTAGAGAATTTGATGGGACACATTTAAATAAAATCAAGATTATATGATTGATCTATGGTGAGATATTTGAAAAATACCTAATGTTGCAATTATTTTGTCGTAGTCGGTAATTATTTTTATGCATGCATTTTATCATTATAAAAAGAATCTCGATGCTCGTAAAAAATATAATCATTCTATATCGAAAATGATTAATTTTTACAGAGTAAAACTTCATCTAATTTCTTTTTATTTTATAGTGGCTATTGATTTTATTAAAAATTTACTGAATGGTATCGATCAGAGAATTTTATTGCATATATCGAATAAAAATTCGAGCTTAAAAAACTATAATTGAACTTCAAATAAGCAGATTTTTTTTCTTAACTATGTTCAAGATCCGTTGTTATTCCTTCTCAGTTCTATATTAGCTACTCATAGATAAGAATGTATTTTCAAATTTTGATATATTTCATAAGACTTTATTTTACTTGTTTTTGCAAAGCGAATAATTTTTACAAAAAAAGAATACATTTTTTGTCCTAGTATAAGTACGACCTCTCTGATTATATCGCTTCTCATTGGTTATTATACATTGACAAATACCACATATATCAGCACCATCAGTTAATTGAGTGAGTTCGCCATCATAAAAACTATAAAGTTAGATATTTTTCTACTGATAAAATCGCTCTACTATTTTACTGTCATTTATTCAAAACATCATTATACATCATTATTTTGTTTTCTAGTTTTGCTTTAGACAAATAAAATGAGTTCATCTTATTTAAGTATAGGTGCATTAAGTGCAACCGTTGGCTTATCTATCTATGTTGGTATGTGTTCAGTTAATCTTTTCCAAAACAAAACATATGGTTCTTTTTTATCTTCATAGGTTTAACTTATATGTTAACTAACTATGGTTTTCGCTTTGATATTGGTTGGTTTCTTTTATCAATTTCACCTTATCAATGGGCATTAGTTGGTATTGCATTAGCCGTATCACTATCTGTTCTCGGCGCTGCTTTGTAATTAAATATAAATTTTTTTTTTGTAAATTAAAAATAATATATCTAATATTTTTCTTCTAGAGGTATTTTTGCAACTGGTGTCAGTATATTAGGTGGTGGTGTTAAAGCACCACGTATTCGAACAAAAAATCTTATTTCAATTATAATGTGTGAAGCTGTTGCTATTTATGGACTTATTATGGGTATTGTTATATCCGGTTCAATTTCTGTAAATAAAAACTAAAGAACTTTTTTTCTAATAGATTATATAATGATTATATTTCTAGAGTTTTTCGACAACTCAATTGGATGATTTAGCACTTAAATATCGTGCTGGTTATAAATTATTTGGCGCTGGTTTAAGTGTTGGTTTCTGCAACTTATTTTGTGGTGTATGTGTTGGTCTTGTTGGGTCAGGTGCAGCATTAGCTGATGCACAGAATTCATCATTATTTGTTCGAATTCTTATTATTGAAATATTTGCTAGTGCAATAGGTTTATTCGGTCTTATTGTTTCAATACTTCAGGTAGAATTATTTGTATTTTAATGATTAAAAATAATTTACAATTTATTTATTTATTTTTATAGTCAAATGGATCGAATATGTCTGATTGATTATTGACAAAATTAACCTACCATTAACATTCTACGTTCACATACTTAACGATCATTTTATTTATTTCCATTATATATATATATTTTTTTTTTTCGTAATACTGTCGTTCCATATATATGTGTAGATATTTATTTTATTGAAACAAGAAAAAAAAGAAACGTGCATCTCATGTATGTGTATTGTGTCGTTCGTCATTATCGTAACCCTGTGTTGAAATAAAAGAACGAAAAAATAAACGTTACTTTAATTTGAATGTTTCCCTTTTTTTTTATTTTTCTTTTTGGGATCAACAAAGTAGAAAATATTGTCGATGTTAATAATAATAACAATAGCAGCAACAAACAGAAGCCTAAGTTTTTTTTTTTTTGAATTTTGTAAAAAGAGAAAAGAAAACAAAATAGAGAAGATGAGAATAAAAACAAACAGGCAACTACTATACACGAAAACACATACACAATCAATTAAAATGAAATCGAAATGTAAATCCTTGTCCATTGCCAGCACCGAAAGGATTAAAACCATGAAATGGATTATGATGTTGAGCTTGCTCTTCGGCATCTAATGGATCATCACCAGCATCAAATTTAGCACGTTTTTCTATATACATAAATAAATAAAAATAAGTTTTAATTATTCCATAAAAAAAATACAAACCTGGATCAGTTAAAACTTCTTTTGCTGCAGCTATATCAATAAACATTCTTTCAGCTTTTTTCTTATCTTCACCTTCATATTTATCTGGATGCCATTTAACAGCAAGTTTTCTATAAGCTTTTAAAATTTCAGCTTTATTTGCTGATCTTCGTACATTTAATATTTTATAATAATCACGTTTTTTTGATTGTTTTATTAATTTTTGTGTACGTTTTATTCCATCGTTGACACGATTTGAATCTTCTGTTTCATGTGCACGTTGATAATCAGCTAATGCTAATTCATATTCTTCATTTAATATATATGCTTCAGCACGACTTATTAAAAGTTCAACATCAGATACATGATATGTATCTAAAACTTCTGTACATTTTTTAATTGTATCTTTAGCTGGAGATTTTCCTTTTGACATACATGTACATATTGATGAATGTGCACGATAAATAAATGCATGTGATGATGGATCTGATGAAAGTTTAAGAATTTGATTTGCTTTATCAAGACATTCTTTCCAATTCGATTGACTTATAGCATCACGTATAGATTCAAGTTGTTTAGCTAATTTTTTAACTTTAACATAATGTGTATGACATTCTTTATGATCAGCATCCAATTTAAGACATTCACGAATATTTCTAATAGAAAAAAACAAAACTATATTAGATGAAAATCAAAAACAAAAAAGAAATTATTTACGTTAAACTATCATCAGCATCACCCATTGAATAAAGTAATTGACTTATTTTAAGATACGCTTGAGTATTATCAGGTATTAATTTTGCTGTAGCTTTAAGATCATTAACTGCTTTTGGTAAATCACCTGATTTTAAATAACTATCAGCACGTAATTCACGTAATGTTATTGCCCATGGACAATGCTTCAAAAGAAAAAAAGAAAAGAAAAGAATATTAAAAAGAAAAAGAAAAAGAGATTCATCAAACCTCAATTATTGTTGAAAGTAATTCAGTAGTTTTCGTATAATCGTGTTTTGTGTACGCGTTCTTAGCTTCTTGACTTGTTTGACTCATTTTTTTAGTTAAATCAAATTGATTACGTGCTTCACTATTTGATGAATCTGATGTTAACTAAAACACGCACAATAATTTTTAAAAACATTATTGAAGAAAAAAATAATGAATAATTATCTACATACTATACTTTCAAAATCAACTTGTGCTTCATCAAAATCTCCTTGTTTTAATAGTAAATTTCCTCGTTGCATACGAGCCTTGAACAAAAATAGAAAATTTAATTAATGAAATAAAAAAAACAACTTTTGCAGCAACTCACAGCAAGAAAATCTGGTTTAAGTTCAATAACTTTATTCAAATCAGGTAATGCTGCTTTAGATTTTCCCATACCCAAATAAACAGCAGCTCGTCGAAAATAAGCAATATAATTTTTTGGATTAGCATCTAACAAAACAGAAAAAGAAATAAATACACTTATAAACATTTATTAAAACAAAATTTTTTATATATTATCATACCAATTGCTAAATGAAATTGTGATAAAGCATCGGCTAATTGTCCGCTAGCCAATAATATTTTTCCTTTTTCTAAATGATCATTGACATCTCCACTTGCATCACCAATAGCACCTATGAAAAGTTTTTTATTTTTTTACTTTACATCAAAGAAAATCTTTGTTTGTTTTACCATGTATTAATAAATCTGACAGGGCAGCAAGGATAAATAAATGATATAGCATATCAATACACCGAGACATGAGAAAAAAGTATATTGTGGAATGTTAGATTCATACCATGATAATCAAGACTACTTTAAATTAGATATTATGTTATAAAGCGCTGGCAAACGTTGAACAATTTCAATGGATCATAAAAAACCAATCATTGATAGACAGGTGAGACCTACAAAGACTAATCAAATAGATTTATCTGAATTTGAAAATTAGAAAAAAATTTAAATAGTTTTTAAAAATCTTTTTCTATAAATATTAAAGACTTTTTTGAAACTTTATGCGACCTCTATTGAATATCGATAAGACGTGTTAGTAGACCCTCATTTGTTTTCGTCTGAATTTCTTTTTTGTTTGTTTCACTATCATTGTATTAAATATAATATTTAGAATGATGAGAACAGAATGAAAGGTGAAAGAATATAATGCACCACATTTTTCTAGTCTTCAAAGTTCCCTGACTGAATATTATATTTTAAATCAAGGCCATTTTTCTCATTCACATAAATGATTTTCTTTACTGACTCATGCCCAATAATGATTTTTCTTTTTTTTTTTGTTCTGTCTTGCTCGTTTTTTTTTGGATGACATCAAACACAGGTGTAAATCGTCGAGAACAGTTTAGTAGAAGCGATCACAATGACGGCCATATATCGGATGATAGCATTTTATTAATGGCTGACGACGGTGCAGATAAAACACCGTTATTAAATGATACTGATAATACAGAAGTCATGACACAAGTGACTATACCAAATCAATCGTTGTCACAATCAACTCATTGTCATGTGCCGGATAATAAATTTGATTATGGAGCAAGAAATCGTCTTATTGTTGTACTAATTATTTGTATTGTTTTCATGATTATTGAAATTATCGGTATGTTTTTAAGTTTAAGATAAGAAAAAAAAACAAAGTATTGCGTATTTTCATGTTTACCTAGGAGGTGTTCTTTCTAATTCAACAGCTGTTGTAACAGATGCAGCTCATATGGCAATTGATGTCGCTAGTTTTCTAATATCATTAACGGCAATGTATCTTGCAACAAAACGACCAACACAAAGACTTTCATTTGGTTATATTCGAGCAGGTCTATATATATGTGAAAAATAATATATATTCATCCAATTAAGTTATTCATTGGTGTTTTTTTAGAGGTACTTGGAGCGCTTCTCAGTGTATTAACAATTTGGTTAGTTACTGGTGTACTTGTTTATATGGCTGTTGAACGTTGTATCAATCAAACTTTTGAAGTAAAACCACTAGAGATGATTATTGTTGCATCATGTGGTGTTATATTCAATATCGTGTAGGTATGAATTATAGATTGATTATCATTTAAAAATTAAAAATTTTTTTTTTATTTATTTTTATAGAATGTTTCTTGTTTTACATGCTAATGTATGTGGTAAATCAATGCCTCATCATGGTCATTCACATGGAGATAACCATGGTCATTCACATGGCGATAACCATGGTCATTCACATGAAAACAATCATCATGACGATTCACTTGAAGACAATCATGACGATTCACGTGAGGAAACTCTTGAAAATGCAGATACGATTATTAATGCTTCCCCATTAGTTGCTAATATTGTAACCGGTCAAAATCGAGAAGAAATTATAAAAGCAAAGAAATCAACAAAAAATATCAATGTACGAGCTGCTATAATACATGTTATTGGAGATTTTGTTCAAAGTGTTGGTGTTCTTTGTGCGGCTATACTCATTAAATTTAAAGTAATATTTAAAACTAAATAAATAAAAACTGATTGTATACATACATATGTATATATTGTTTTTTTTAATGATTTTAGCCACAATATAAATTAGCTGATCCAATCTGTACTTTTTTTTTCTCTATTCTTGTTCTTATTACAACAATTACAATCATGCGTGATATTGTCTTTGTTCTTATGGAAGGTAATTTTTAAAGAAATTTTGTTCATTTTGTTTTCTATTATATTATATATTAGCTGTTCCATCAAGTGTTAATTATTCACGAGTAGTTGACGATCTTCTTCAATTACCTGGTGTACGAAATGCACATAGTTTGCATATATGGTCATTATCGATGCAAAGAACAGCTCTATCTGTTCATCTTGCAGTTAGTAAGTAATCTTTGATATTCTGTTTTGAAATATGAAAACTATTCAATGACTTATTTGAATAATGTCATTTGTTGATTTAAGTATAAGATTTTGTTTTTCTTTAGGTTCCGATCGAGATTTTTTGATGGTATTGAGACAAGCTCAAGAAATGCTCCGTTGTAAACATTCTATTGCACGAACAACAATACAAGTTGAACCATATGATGAACCTGTGATGAGTGCATGTGAAGATTGTCGTCCATTGAGTATTTAAAAAAAAGTAGAAAAGTTATTAAATTAACTGACAATAATGTATAAAATATCACTGCATGCCATTGTTTTTTCGTGATCATCTGTCTTTATTTTGCAATATTAATTTTCTCCACCTAATATATTATTATTATTTTTTTTTTTTTGACGACAATTATCTATTAATTCAGATGCGATTTGAAACGAAAATCGATGTCTTCTTTTTTTTTCTATTTAAAATAATTAAAACTAGTGATTTTTCGATAGATAATATATTTGTATCATTACTACATATAATATGTATCTTGAGAAAGTATTCGAAAAAAAAAACAGCCTTATACACATATTAAATCGAGTAAATTCAATTAATTTTAATCAAGCTTGAAATCGGTAAGAAAAACAAAAATTTGTTGTAAATGAAAAACCATAAGACCGATAAAAATGCAATAAGATAGATTCGAGCAATGAATGATATATTAGAAACTGATGCAGTATCAGGTGTATTATTATTTAAATCTTTTGAAAATGTCTGTAATTTGCATATTTCTAATGAATACATTTATAATGAGGTAAAAGAAGTATAATCACTATTATAATCAAAATCATGCATTTCCTGATGAATGATCATCGATCTACCAATATAACATACGAGCAAGTTATTTTGAGTAAATAAATAAATTTCACAAAGCTTTTATCACTTTATGAAACGAAGTATAGAAAGTTTACATAATTAATGTCAGAACTGTATTTGATCTTTCCTTGTCTAGATCCGCTCTCCAACTTGTGTTGGATCTCAAATTGATCGTGTTAACTGCACAATTTTATTCTCTATCGAATAGTATCGATTTCAATAGAAGTCATGGAACGAAATATGGAAGTTTCACAACAAATACTTTATAAGAGAAGCCACATGAACTTATCATGAACGCCAATTTGATGATCAAAATGAAGGTATATTCTTTTTTTTTGTTTTACATCAATCGATTTCTCACATCAAACTGGAGTTATAAGTGTTGAAACATGAGAGCCTCCGAGAAATGGAAAAAAAGATCATCTCGATTGTTTCTCTTATATCTTCGTCAATTTTCATCCATTTTGCTTTGAGCAACATCGCATTTCAAACAGCAAATAAAACTGAACAAAAACGTCACGAATAGATTTCTCAAAAAAAAGATGGTCTTAACACAAAAAATTAGCTTTTCGGAAAAACTGTGCTTTTACTAAGTTGACTTTTTTCGGTCGTAAGCCATTTTGCAATATAATAACTAATGGCGACTCTACTTTAATATTGTACATCTTGTAGAAAATTTTGCACTCTACAAAACGATTATTGACATTTTGAGAAAAAAAGTTTCAGAAAAAGTTGAGAAAAGCAGTGGCGCATTATTCTTGAGACATAAGTCTGTGTCTTTCCGACTGATATTTAGCAGATTTTGCTTAGAAGAATTACGATTTGATGAAAATTTATATGATATTCTGAATCAGTATACAGAACTGAGACGAATAATGTGTATTTGAAGTATATTTGACATGGTTTTTGGTGATTAAAAAATTCACCTCTGACATCCCTCAGAATTTAATCAGACAATGAAATTTATCACAATGCTCTTTTTATTGTCTAACCATCTTCAATTTTGTGTTTTACTATTATTTTGAATCGTTAGAACTTGTTTCCTACTTGCAAAATAATGTTTCGTTCATATTCACTTTCTTATTAAACCTTAAAGAAGACCAGAGATAAATTTTTCGACTATAGAAAAAACGTCTCAAGGATACTTTATACATACATTATTCGTCTCAGTTCTTTATACTGATTCAGAATACCATATTAATTTTGATCAAATCATCAATTTTCTAAGCAAAGACTACTAAATATCAATCAGAAAGACGCAAATTTATGCCTTGAGAATAATGCACCGCCGCCTTTCTCAGTGTTTTCTGAAACTTCTTTTCTCAAAATCTTTATAATAGTTTCATAGAGTGTAGATTTCTCTACAAGATGCACTATATTAAAGTAGAGTTGCGATTAGTTATCATGTTGTAAAATGGCTTACGGTTGAAAACAGTGAGTTTAATAAAAGCACAGTTTTTCCGAAAAGCTAACTTTTTATATCACGATTTGTCCTTTTCAGAAACCTATTCGTGACATTTTTGTTCAGTTTTATGTGCTGTTTCAAACGAAATGTTGTCAAAACAAAATGGATAAAAATTGACAAAGATATAAGAGAAACAATGGAGAAGATCTTTTTTTTCGGTCTCTCGGAGTCCCTCATGTTTCAACACTTGTAACTCCAGTTTGATGTGAGGAATAGATTGATGTAAAAAATAAAAAAGATATATCTTCATTTCTACTATAAAATGATCCTGTTGACGAATGCTTGATCGACTGGATAAATCTCTCTTATGTTTGCTCATGCTATCAGACTCTTCATGTTGGTATGCGTCCAATAAACATACCAGCACTGGTACACCTACATTCCAAGATAAATGATCTCTTAGAAAAACTATTTTTCATCTTGTATTATGATTTGTTAGTTTTAATAAGTTAATTCCAAATATATGCATTCAATCAATGGCTAGATTTGAATACTTTCTATTGTTAAGTATTACACTTTGATTTAATTAACTTTTACGTAGAATAATATTTTTGGTGAGTGTTCATGAATACTGTTGATCATAAACAATTCGCAAACAAAATCGAATAATTATTTGAAATTTGAACTTGATGTGAAGAAATTTTCGCAAGTAAATTCTCGAATGTCAACATTTTCTGGGATTTTATTGATCATTGTCTTGTAGTCATGTGAGTCAAATGAGAAGTTTTGTATTGGTTACAGCTGTAAAAACCTATAAGATCTGATTTGATGATGGCAAAGTATGTTCAAGTACAGAAGAAGAAGAAGATGATGATAATGAATGTAGGTAAGTGGCGCTTTTTCATAGTTTCAAATTTAATTATTAAATAAATATTTCTATACTTTATTTATGATAATCAAAAACAACTTCATAAGAAAAGAAATTGCCTTCATATTTGGTGGGATACCTCAAGATAGTCTTTTTGATTCTGTAATTGAATCATCGAATACAATTCGACACTATCAATTAGTACTTATTTGTCTCAGACTTGATTAAAATTTATTTCATTTTCTAGCAGATCATCTAGCATCTATTTTTGTTCTCATTAAATAATGATTTAGATGGATCTTCTTCATATCTACATCCAATCTTCTAACAGGTTGAACATTACTCCTGTAAACAGGGACAAAGAACGATTTAATGGTACTAACTTGGATCATCTCTTTGATGTTGCTTTCATTTCACGATAGTCAACCACTATAAGATTTGCATTTAAATAAATCTTGTATACGTTTTTTTCCCATATTCATCAAGAAAGTGATGTGGCTTCACGAGAGATCGATGTACTTTCGCACTTCTGGAGTACATCGAGTGTAATATAAAATACGCTTAATAATTATTAAAAAAGTGAAGTAAACGTGGAATTTTTTTTTAAAAAGGATTAATATGTACGATAAATAGAGCGTCTAGGGTATGTTCGCCAGACGAGATCTTGCATTATTTTCTTCATTTATGTCAGGATTGAACGTCTAGACGAACGAGAAAAAAGAAACGTGTCGAATATATTTTGTCATTTGCATCTCATGTATTGAAAAGGACAGACATATTTTTATTAGTGTTTTACTACTGTGATTTGTTGAACTTAATTTCATGGCTACATTCAAACATCGTATTAAGACTTCATTGCTGTCCGATGATATTTTTCCTATACTGATACACAATTCTACAATGTTGCCAAACGAATCGTGCGTGACAATCAAATAGGAAATGACGTACTACTATACACCAGGAGTCCAGAAAGCACAGGCGTACGTCGTTTCCCCTTTGACTATCACCCATGATTCGTTTAGCAACATTGTAGAATTATGTATCAGTATAAGAAAAATATCATCAGACAGTAATGAAGTCTTAATACGACGTTTGAATGTAGCCATGAAAATAAGTTCAACAAATCACAGTAGTGAAACACTAATTAGTTATGAAACCTGACTTTCTATTGATTTCATGCAGGATATGTTACTCTATAGAAATGTTAATTGTACTCCTTCAACAAAACTTTCTCGATTGCATAAAACTTAGAAAGTTGACATCTTCTCAGCTGTGACGATGGATATTGACACAGAAAACAATAATTTGTTATGCGAATACTGCTGAAATTTGAGTTATGTAACTACATTTCCTCAAATTTTTGTTTCTCGACGCATGTTTCGGAATTGAAGAAGATATATTTGGAAAATAAATGTAACTGAGAACTACGAAAACATAGAAAATTTCATTTCACTCAGATTAGTTTGTCGACTGTCTCTTGGTTCAACTAATTGAGTAGTTTGTATTGTTGACAATACACATGAGACCAATTCATCTAGTAGTAGTTTCCACTTTCGATACTATGGCAATAAATCTTTTAGAGATAATATTTAACTAGATAGGATAATTTTTCATGAGGCATTCACAAAGAGATTCACAGATGTTAAAATAATGTATCTATTTCGATGAAATCATAGGAAGAAAAGCATTAGAATTTCAATAGAACTGCGGTAGAGAATTCTCGCTGTTGATATAAAATGATCAGTGTATGGCATCGAACTTGATGACAACTAAACTACATCAATCAATAAGAATCTGCAAAAAAAAATACGAGATCTTTGATAAGCAATTGAGGAGTTATTAATCGTTGTAAATTATGTAAATAAGAAAAATTGGTGTAGAAAAAAATAATCATTTTCAAAGCAAAAATTTCTGCATAGAGTCAACTCTGTTATGCTCTGTATCTATTTGGATGTGATCACGAAATTTTTCTTTGTCATGATATGCTTCTTCTGTTCTCATTCTCTCTATAATTAGGTTTATGTGTCGGACTTTTCTTTTCCCGTCATATATATATATGATGGATTTTTCCTTTCATGTTCAGCATCTGTGAAATCTGTCATCCTATAAATTCCAAATTTT